TTTGAATGAGTTCCCTGGACGAGGACTAGAGCCTCTCTTGAAACTCATGTAGGCAGTTTTCATCATGGAACTTTCATTTTTCATTTCTAAAGCCTAAATCAGATTTTTTTTAAATGTGCTTCTTTTTTTTTTCTCTTCATTTTCAGGGAATGGTGGGCTGAGGCTCAAAAGAATAAGAAAATACGTCCCAATCCATATGATACTAAAGTGAAGAAAAAACTGCGGCACATAGAAATTGCTGCTGGTTTCCCAAATCTTTCTGTGGCGGAAGCTTATTTGCATCCTGTGGTGGATGAGTCAAAGGCATCCTTTGCTTGGGGAAGACCTAATGTGGAACAAATTAGAGAATATCCTTTGCACTGTTTCTTCCCTTAACAAGCACATAAAAGGAATGATATTATAATGCAAATGTTTGCATAGGTGAACTGTGCTTCAGTATGATAGTTTCTTGTTTCCTTCTTTGAGTGGAAGAATTCTAAATTCTATAGCTAGTAAATTACTTTATCTGGCTAGAGCAAATTTAATTTTCCTGAATACTAATTAGTAGACTTCCTTATTTATTATTTGTCTTTTGTTTGGTAGATGCAGTCTCTACCCTAGTATAAATAAAATTAAGAAGTCAGCATATTAAATCCTGTATTTGGTTTTTACTGGTTTTAAAAAAAGTGATTGTTGTTTACTTGCCTGGTGTACCTGTCAGCACAAAATAATTCGGGAATACAGTTTTTGCATGTGAAAAGTAAGTTCAAAATTAGCAAAAGGACTTCAAATTGTCTAATTCAGACACATCTTTAGAAATGTTTCCGGAGTGGTTGCTTCTTACTGGTCCTTAACTGTTTGCATATTTTGTCAAAGTCATTTTGGATGGACTAAGTTAAAAACTGATGAAGTTCTCTTTCCTGTTCTCAAACAACTGAATATTCAACAGGTATTACTAAAATGAAACCTTTTCTTTGTCTTGGTGGATTTGAAGTCTCATACTCAGGTTTGCCATAAACTTACAAAAGTGTTTATGTATGTGCAATAATGAATAAAGCTATCCCTTCTACAAAATATATAAGTTATCATACTATATCAACTGTGGAAAAGTAGCTTGTCTGAAAATAAATTTTTAAAAAGCAGATGATTAATTAGAAATTTGGTATAAAAATTGGTTGGATCAGATGAAAATATAATAAAGAAGTTAGCTATGTGTTTCACCATTTCAGAACTGTTACTTTATATACATTCTGAAAAGAGCAGTACCTAACCTTAATACTGAGTAGAGAAAAGTTATATCTAGACCACTTGTTTTCATGGGTCAGTGTCCTGGAATACAGCAGGCTATTTCCCCCAAAATATTCCTGTTTGTTCAGAGATTGAAAGCAACCATAGGGAATGGCAGAATTACTGTTTGAATGCACAGTGTTTATAATCCCAACATTTAGAATTAGTTAGATGAAGGGCTCATTGTCAAAAGACTAGGCTTCAGTCATGGAAGTAGTTGATTAGAAATGGCAAAAAAGATTATAGATGAAGGGAGTCTGATTTTATATATCCCAGACTTGGTTAGGGTGAAATCTAGCCAAATATTATATAGAGAGAAAAAGCACAAAAATATAAGTCTTGACAATTGTATAAGTTGTTGGTTGCCGCTATTTAGCAATCTGCATGGTTTTTTTCTAATAATTTATAATTTTTCCAAGTACACTCTGACAGGAAAGTAAACGTGCAGCCATTAAGAGTTAATATTTTAATGACATCATAGCAATACAAACAACAGCAGGTTGTACTAAATGGTTGCTTATTAAAAGTTGTCTAAATAAGTAGGTTGCTATGCACCTTTGAAAGCAATCTAGCATCAAGCTCTGGGAAAGCTTTTAAAAAGTCGTGTAGGTACTTCTAAGAGCAACTCTCAGCCGGTCTTCTAGATGCTCACAGATTTGTAGATACAAGCCAACAAACAGCAAGCTTAGGAGAAGTTTAATTTACAAGCAATGAACATCCCATCTGGCAAGAACGGCTAATATCTGATCTAGGTTAGTGCTGGGAGCGTCTGCCTTCCAGTGCTATTTATAGTGCACACACGCCCACCTAATCTCAGCTAACTCCTGTGTATCGCCCCATTCAAATTACCCTAATTAACCTTGTCTACCATTATATATGAGCCTATCCCTATCCTTCCTACTCCGCTCTGATTCTCTATCTAGCTCTGACCCCTCTCTAATCCTCAGCTTCCCCCCGCCCCTGGTGTGTGTGTGTGAGAGAGGAAGGCTCTCCTTCATGAGCCCAATCATCCCCAAAGTGCCTGGTGCTAACATTCGCTGCACAGGGAATCCCCGTTGTTACAATGTCAACATCATCTACTCTTAGGGATTCCCTATTTATTCGCCGCCCTTCAGCAGATGTCACAGCATAACATGGAAGATTGGATCTCGTTAGCAATGCTGGCGGGCTCCGTGGTTAATATCGTCATATTCAGAGCCTGACAAACTGTCCGTTGCAGCCTGTAGTGGATCCAAAACATGTACAGGACACGGATAGGTTATTTATTTCAGTGGAATCCTTCTGTACCAACAAAAATGAAATCTAAATGGGGCTACTAAGAGACTAGAGTGGAATATTAGAACATCGGAGCAACCCTAATGGAAGCTGAATATAGAGTTGGGGTGAATTGGCCTGCTTGACCTCCACAAAAAGCCTTTAGATGGCAGAGAATATCTGGCTATCCAAGTGTTGTGAAACTTCATTTCCCAGCACTCGTCACCATTGTCAATGTTAGATGAGGCTGCTGAGAACTGTAGTTGATCTTAAGCTGGAGGGCTAGATAGTCTCTACCTTAAATGTATCAGGACTAGGCAAAGCAACTGGAGTGCCACCTTTGGAAGCCATATTCCACGCTGCCACATAGCCTGAGAAAGTGGGAGGGGGTGATTTCAGTTAAGTAGCTCTAAGTAGACAAAATTCTTTTGTTAGTTCAAGGTCATTGAGTATGGCGCAGGATGAAATAAGGATCTTACTTTGGGACGGGATTGGGCCAGGTGATATGACGACGACCAAGGGATTTGTAGTTTGGGAAATTGTGGAAAGCCCGAAAACTTTTAGATTTGGGATTCCACAGATGGGCCAGGTGCTATTCTAATAAAGGTACTTTTGAGATACGTTTGTCTCGGAGTTACTGATTGGAATGGAGGTTTGCTGGAACGCTGACATGGAGCTCTGAACAAATATTCTCTTGACAATGATGTGAATTTTGTTGCATGTTTTCTCTGCTGCAAATAGTATTCTCCATCACCCTTACCGAAACTTACAAGGGTACTTTTCTTTCTTTTGTAGACCCAGCTGCGTATTGACTCTTTCTTCAGACTGGCACAACATGAAAAACAAGTCATCAAGAGTCAGAGGGTTCGCCGGGCTGTGACCTGCATGAGGAGAAAAGAGAAGGAAGAAGACGACAGTGAAGTCCAGGAGGCAACTGCTGTTCTAGAAAAAGAATTGAAACAGAAGAAAGGGCAGGCATTCAATAAAGGAAGGGCTGGATGCCAGAAACGAGGAAGCAAACGGAAGAAATGTCTGCCATCTCAGCAACAGAGCGTTCTGTGTGGTGGCTTCGTAGGAGAGGTTCTGCTCTCGGAGGCATCCAGCGAGTCTTCAGCTGGTGATTTGGAGAATGAAGCTTCCAGAAAGCAGAGAAAAGGGGAGAACGCAAAAATGCTCGAAACGAACGTGACAAGTCACAAAACTAGCCTAGAAGTTGCATCTGCGCAAAGTGAAGCCAGGAGTAGCAGCTCCAGTGCAGAGGAAGAAATGCAGATGGTGACAGCCAGGCCAGTGTTTGAGGGCAAAAAAGCAAGAGGCAAAACTTTAAGGAGGAGGTGGAAGAAATAACGCTCGCTGGAAACATATATGGGGCTTTAAAAATTATCTCAATCTTGGCAACTTGAAGATGTATGAACTTCAAGGCTGGCTGGGAAATTCTGGGACTTGAAGTCCATGCAGCATCTTCAAGCTGCTAAGATTAAGAAAGACTACATTATCTTACAAATATTTGCTTCACTAGAAAGATACTATTTTCCACTTTCTTTATCAATCCCCATCTTATATTCAACAGCATGATATGAATTTAGAGAAACCTTTTAATATAGGAAACACCTGTTTTGTATTTCATCTGCTTTTTCTGTGTTGTTAGATGAATGTCAGTATGCTTGGACAGAAAACTGAAATTCAGTTAATGTGAGGAATTCAGTTAATTCAACAAATGTACAAAGCATTTGTTTTATAAAACAAGAAATGAAACCAGTATATATTTTGCACATTTTTGTCTGCAAAAACTCTGTGTGGAATTTCCTTTATATTGGTCAACTGAAGGGAGATGAACTAGATTGATACAGCGGGCTTCCTAATTTTAAATCTAATGTAAACTTTGAGTCTAATCTTTGCTTTTCGTCAATTTATTTATGTTTGATACATTTGTTTAATATCCATTTGTAGCAAGATAAAAATGATCAATTCTCCTCTTTCCATTTAAGTTTCTTTGCACTGCAAAATGCTCACATGGACTACCCTTGCAATTCAATGAACACTTAGATCATAGAATAATGGAAGGGACCTTGGAGGTCATCTAGTCCAACCCCCAGTTCGAGCAGGAGAGTCTATTCCAAATATTAGCCTCTACCTAGGATTGAATTCACAGTTTCCTGATTGTGAGGCAAGAGCTCCACCTCTAGGCCACCGGATCTGCCCTCATGCCTAATTATTTATTATTATTAATTCCCTAATGCACAAAATGATGTTTAATATAAGTGGCATGGCAAGATACGTAGGAAATTAGGCTGTCCCACATATTGCCTACTAATGAACTACAAAAGCTCTGAACAGTAGGTCACTTGTGTCTCTTTTGTTTTTGGGAAGTGTGAAGCTTAATGGCAGATTAGAAGCACCATACATTGAATTCATTTTCATTCTGAAAACCATACAGGTCACAAATCACCTTCAGATAACTCTCAAAGCTGACAAACTTAACAGAGGCTTTCTTGAGGAGAAAACTAAGCTTTAACCACTAAGAAGATGGTTGTTATGGGATCCAATAGAATAATAGACATTTTGGAATCAAACACTCAAACCAAAAACATAAAATTATGTGCAGATTATGCTGAATTTACAATTATTTATCCAAACAATTCTTAATAAAGCTTAATAGAATATATAGAGCAGTATGATTCATTTTCAGTTGATTGGATTAATAAATACAAGATCCAAATATGGGTATGGAACTTATTTAAAGAAGAAAATCTATAGCGAAAAATAAGGTTTAACATCATTGCTAAAAAGATCATTTATATGGAGATTTATTTAACAAACAATAAAAATTTATTTAATAACAATTACTCAACGTAGAGAAATATAATGCTAAACATTTCAAGTTAGGAAAGGCAGAAACTCTTTGATAGGAAAAATTGCATGGGTAAAAACGCAAATCTTAACTTTTTGATCTAAAAGATCCCAATAAAAATGGATGAAAATATACAGTATTAAATGACTGACAGCAAAAAAAACCAAAAATGTATACATGGCGTAACAAAATACCCAGGATAAAATTTAAAAACAAAATATAAGACTTGAACAAATAAATAGGCTAGTAGCAACAAATCGTAATTTGTATTACCAGGCTAGTTGTGTCAGATAACATTTGATTGTAACATTTGATGGCTGGATTGCTTGTGAGGAAGGAGTAGGAATTTTAAAAGGACTGCACAAATATGTCTGATAGAGGCAGAAAAAAAAGATCAATCTTTTAAAATATGAGATAAATGGAAACATAATCTGTTCTATCTATAATCTGTTCTGCTTGAGCAAAGAGTTGGTCTAAAACAGGCTTGTCCAACCTGCGGCCCAGGGGCCGCATGCGGCCCAGGTTACCTCGTAATGCGGCCCAGTGCCCACCCCAACCTTCGTGCCAGAGCCAGCGAGGAGGAGGAGGAGAGGCAGGCGTGAGGCGGGGCGAGGCAAGCGCCAGGCCAAGCAGCAAAAGAAACGGCAGGCGCCGTAACAGCGCCACCTCCTGCTGTTGCCGCCGCCGCCACCGCCGCCGCTTCTGCCCCCACCGTCGCCGCCGCTTCTGCCCCCGCTGCCGCTTCTGCCCCCGCTGCCGCTTCGGCCCCCACTGCCACTTCTGCCCCCACCGTTGCTGCCACTTCTGCCCCCGCCACCACTGCTGCCACCGCTGCCACCGCTTCTTCCCCCGTCGCCGCTTCTGCCCCCGCCACCACTTCTTCCCCCGCCACCGCTGCCCCTGCGGCAGGGGCAGAAGCGGCGGTGGTGGGGGAAGAAGCGGCGGCGGGGGTGGCAGAGGGGGCAGAAGCGGCGGTGGGGGAAGAAGCGACGGGGGCAGCAGCGGTGGCAGGGGAAAGCTTCTGCCCCTGCCGCTGCTGCTGCTTCTGCCTTCCAGTCCTGCCTCATCCAGCCAGGCCATTTGCAGGAGGAGAGGTAGGCGCGAGGCAGGCAAGCTTTCTCCCCCCCCGCCCACAAAATTTGGCCAGAAAATAAACCGTGATAAAAAAACTGTGATAAAAAAACCGTGATAAAAAATAAATAATTTTTAATAAATAATAAAAACATCTCACTAACTTCATTTCCAAATAAATTTAACATGTTAACTATGTTTTCTTTGGTTTTTCTGGATGATCAGGTATCGTTACTGTTATTTTATTTTATGTGCGGCCCAAACCAAATTTTCATCTTCTAATGTGGCCCAGGGAAGGTGAAAGGTTGGACACCCCTGGTCTAAAAGATTCCCCAAGGTCCATTCCATTTCTGTTACTCTGTTATCTATTGCCCCTTGCCTTGGTAAAAAATATTTTTATGGAAAATATATAAAGAAATATGAAAAATAAATAAAGAATATAAGGTATAATCATATAACTGCAATCTTTTTAATAAAGCAATCTTTCATTGTGTTCCCTTATGAATGACCAGAATAATTTGATTAATTGGTGTCAGATTTTTTTCCTTCCATTCAATCATGTCCTATCCTCAGAGATTGACCAGTCTCTTGGCAAGATTTTTCAAAAGTGATTTGCCAACCCTTCCGAGGGTTGAGAGAAAGTGACTTGCCCAAGGTCACCCAATTCATGCCCAAAGTAGGACTAGAATTCACAGTCTCCCAGTTTCTAGCTTGATGCCTTAGCTACTACAATAATTTCGTTCTCATCAGATGTTTTACTAGTGGTGTATTACTTTAGTGTTGATTATCAGAATAGACAATTCTTAAAATATTCTGGAAATGCTATAGTATATAGGATCATTTTTTCTGTGTGATGTTATGTTGTAAAGTCCAACAGGTGTGGAAAATGATTTATAATAGAATGAAATAAATGCTCCATTCCAGCCTGTCAGCTTTTTGTTAATATTGCTAAACTTTATATTCCCCTATACTGATTTGGGTCTGTACATGCAACAGCTACAAGAATTTTGTATACCTCCAACTGAAAATACAATTTCTTCCATAGAAGAATGAGAAAACAAATTGTAGGAGTATGTTCCACTGTCAGGTTAACTCTGTCAGTCTATTGTAGCTCTTTTTCAGACGAAGAAAGTTTATTAAAATACATAAACATTTGTGAGTTATAGCTCACGTTATATTCATTGAGTGGCTAAACTGATGGTTGAATTGGGATGAAATAATGTCAATATTAATTTAATGTATAAAAAATAAAGCTGATATAGAATTTACCACCATATAGAAACTGTTTGAATTATAATTCTTACAAATAAGTTCAGATCACATCCAAAGTTTACATTTTCTTTTACATAATATAATTGTATGGTGATCTAAATGTATTGAACATAGATGCTGCCTTTTTTTACTACTAATATATGAAATAGTTATACAGTACGAAGAGAAACTACTAATATAACATTTCAAATTCAAATGAGATATTCCAACATGCAAATTAGATTAATGTTGCTTTGAATTTTAGCTAACTGTAATACTTGTAAATCTCCTTTTAATGTATTTTCTGTTCTTTTTATTCTTTTATTGCTTTCCTTTATTGTACTTAAAAATTATTAAATGAGGAAAAGATAGTAGTTATGATAATGCAGTGATATTTCTCCTTTTTTTATTCTATGGAGTGACATAGAAAAGTGGTTTTAGTTATTGAATGGGCTGTGTTGTGTACCACAAGCAAATAATGGGATGAAGTATTGTCAACTGGCTTTGCTTAACTTTGGTGAACAACACCTGGGAGTAAATTGGATGTGAATTTGGAATATTGTACAGCTTGACTTCCTGCTTCATGACTACAATGAAGTGTTAAAAGATGCACTGGACAGAAACTCTGATTATCTCACAGGATAGAGAGATGCTAACTTTTAGTTGTTTTCCTCCCTATGATCACTAAATGTGATATTTTGATCTGGAGCATTACATAATGTTTGTGTGTCATTTCAGCTTATTTGATATGACAATCTTACTTAACACCCAAAAAGTAAAGAACTTATAATTGACTTCAGGAGGAAGAGAGATGTATATTTACTACTGTACATACATGGTGAGGAGGTGAAGAGGGTTGGTAGTTTTAAATTTCTGGGCACTTATATCTCAGATGACCTCTCATGAACTATGAATGCTAACATGCTTGTGAAGAAGGCACAGAAGAGGCTGTCCTTCCTGATAATGCTCAGGAAGATAAGTCTATCTCAGTATCTACTGTCCTACTACCGCAGCACCATTGAGAGTGACCTGACATATGACATTCTGGCATGGTATGGGAGCAGCTCTAGCAGATAAAAAATCTCTAAAGAGAATCATTAAAACTGCCCAGAATATCATTGGACTCCCGCTACTAGCCCTGGATGACATCTTCACATCTCGCTGTTTGAGGAAGTTGCACAACATTCTCAGTGACTCTTCCCATCCTGCTTACAATCTTTACGAACTTGCCTTCTTGCAGAAGATACAGAACAATTAAAACTCGGACCACATGTTTTCTGACTAGTTTTTATCCCAGAGCTATAATTACACTTAACAATGAACTTACTTAAGGACCACCATTAGTGAGCTATTGGACAGTATTACTTGGTCTGTTGTGTTGATGCTTGTGTGTGTTTAGGAGGCAGGGAATTTTGGTGGGTGTTTGGGGATTGTCATGTATGTGTGCATGTCTGGTCTCTGGGTGTTATATGAATTTCATTGTACGTATGCTGTATATATACATACAGTGACAATAAAGAATTAAATTCAATTCAACAAAAACAGGATTGCCTCTGAGAAGAAGAAGAAAGGGCTAGCAAATTTCTCTGTTCATGTGTCTCCTCTAAGCCCAGATTGGATTATATTAAATTTGGAAGAGAAATGGAGGTAAAAATTGAGTCCATTTTTACCAGCCTTTATAACTTATAGCCAACATGAATCTTGAGGGTGATGGAATTAACACAGCTGGTATACTACAGGTAGAGAAAAGTTGTGCCAGTTCTGTGATCGCCCTGTTGTCTCAGATACTGCTTAGTACAACCATCCCATCCCATCCATTTCCTTGATTCTAACTTTTTTTTTCCCATTTACTCCTACCTTCTCCAACTTGATGCCATGTGAATGACAGTTCCGAGAAACTTCAGCTGTTGTACCTAAGCCATATTGTTGGGTAGTTCTGAAAGATTGCACGAGACTGAAAAAGGCTGATGTAGGTGTTTCCAAACAGCTTAAAACTTGGAAGTTCAAATCCTTCTTGTATATTGGTGTCATCTCAACTCTTCTTGAGAAAAACGATATCTGGACTGTGAGGATGCTTTAATTTCAGTTTCACTCAGCACCTGCCTTGTAAGTTCTAAAATAAGAAAAGAATCGTATTTCTGCAAAGACCGTCACTCAGTATGGTGTATCTGGCTGTGGGATACGAGGCATTAAAACACCGTTCTGTAAAACTAGGTGTCAGCTCAAAATTAAGCCCTACTGAGTTGGTCTTCATCAACTTGGGATATGCAGTAGGACTCCAGTCTGATTTTGCTAATTTGAGTTCAGCACCTGACTGGCTTGCTTGCTTGTCATCACTGTCTCCTCTGTTTTACGTAAGTGTGCTTTGTGCCGTTTTTTCCCCAATGAAATTCAAGGGCAGCTGTTGGTTTTATTAATTCTCTTATTGGAGTTGTTGACAGATTGCAGTTCAGACAGATCTGTTGCTTCTAGTGCTTCATCAATGCTGGAGAGAGTGAGAATTAACAGCTTTTTCATCCTGCCTCATTTTACCTCTACTTTTTCTGAATATAAATAACAACAAATGGTATGTTGCTTGAAGAGATTGCATGCATTTATTTTCAGATTCTGGAAACAGTTTTTAAAGTTATTCTGAACTATTTTAGTAATGCAATTGTTGCTAGAATACTGTAGTCAAAACAGTAAACATAACCCAATAGCTAGAAAACTACTGGGTAGCTCTTTTTTTAGGCTTTGCAGGCTATTTTAGATTACAGATCATCAGATCATATGGAAAAGAAAAACATTTTGTGAAATGAAGGGGAATTTATTTACAACTGAGGAATGAGCAGTGCAGAAAAATCCTTTGATAATTTTTTTCCTACCACTGCAACAAATACAATGAACTAGATCTAAATATGTTTATTTCTTCTGCATAAACATGCTTATCACAAATTTATCACAAATCTATGTTCTGTACAGATACTACTATACTTGCTTCATTTTATAGCTTCAGTCTTGCTTTGCTAGCTTAAATCAATGAATACATACATTGCACCTGCAAATCTAGACGTTACTATATAAGAAGAAGCTTTTGTAAGTGGCTCAAACCATTTCCAATGATACGGCAGAAAATGCTCTCGAAATGTGTTAAACATTGAGAAAAAGATTCTCTAAGTCTACTGTTGGCACGCGGTTGTGTTTTTAGAAGCATTTGGCAAACATGCTATACTTCCTGCTACTTGCTCTGCTGTATTAATGGGATAAATGGAAACGGAGGACCAACAAGATGGTCCCCCCAGAGCTTTATGGAATGCAACAAATACTTGAATTGTTTGGGGAAATTTTTCAGAAGGCAAAGCTGAAAATGCTTCCCTGGTGTAAGTCAGTCAAAATCTTAGCTGAATTTCAGGAGGTAAGACAAAACGAATGAAGTTGCCTCCAAATGCCCTTTTTCTGGAGCCTAAGCTTGCTTTTCTGAGGAGCTCCAAGCAATGAAATAAGCCAAGGGACAGCTGGAGTGTAAATGGTGCAATCCCCACTCTGAGGCCAGCTGGACAAACATAACAATGTACAACATGACTATTGCATAAGAATAAAAAAGTTTGGCTTTAGATCCTGCAAATGAAGTGCACAGGCTTGCCTGCTGCTCGCATGTGAGGATGTGCATGCGTGCTCACTCGCCGACCGTTTCCACAGTCCAGTTGCAAACCCCTCACGGTCCACTAGAGGACTGCAGTCCACAGGTTGGGGAGCCCTGATGTAGGATTCCTTTCATCTTTTGAGACTTGAGAGCATAGACAAGAAACGGGTAGCTAGTTAGCCTACAGTCTGTTCAACTAAGCCTTACCCATCTTGGTTTATTCAATGTAGCTAGTGTCTGTATGACGAGTGGATCCAGTGAGTATAAATGTTTTATGTAATAAGTGGTACTGCTAGTCTTACAAAAGATAGTAATGCATCCACATCTTAAAAATAAAAACTTTACTGGATTCAGAAATTTCTAACAATTACTGTCCAGTTACTAATTCCCCACTTTTAGACACTTGGAGAAGACAGGCAACATTTTACAAAGAAAAAATAATCTTAATTCACTTCTATCTGGATTGAGAGCTGGGTATATGAATGAATCCCTCTTCATTGTCCTGATAATGACCGCAAGTGGGAAATAAGTAGTTATTTCTGCTTTCGAAGGATCTTTCAATAAATTTTATTATTAATCATCTGATACTAATTTGTGCTCTGGCATTTATGGGCAGTTATGCTACCAATATTATAAGGCACCTTATCTTGTTCTCTATGGGAGCAATCATTAGGAGTTGTCATCAATGTACTGGTGATTATGTCTACTGCATCTGATTCAGCAGGATGTATGTGTGCTCCAAAGTGGTATCTAGAATTGGCTGGATGAGAACAAAGAAATCACTATTGATTCTTGTCAGTGGATATATGTGAATGAATGGATCCTAGGCATAGGAATTTGGGAGTTTTTCTTACTGGCAAGGTACTCTCAGCACAGGAAATATGCCTTGGGTGTTTCTAGAACTGTCACTGTTACTACAGGCCCAAATGATTTCTAGGTTGAGAATGCCTATTTCTAGTTTCAGTTATTTTTTTCAGCCAGACATGGATAGCTTAAGAACTGTTGTTTATGCAGCTCTGTATTTAGTTTACTAGAGTGTCTTCTTTGTGGAATTACTCTTGTGTAGAGTGCAGAAGATGCAATTGATGCAGACTGTGCTGGCCAACTGGTTGAGATCACTATCTACATATTTCATCTAGATTGAAGCAACTTCAGTTCATATGAACAACAACAATTGGTTACCAATTAGATATTGGGTCAAGTTTGATATTTTAATATTAAATATTTTATAAGGCATAT